GTGACCCTCCAGGCCGCACCGCCCTCGCGTGACTGGACCCTCCGTCCCCCCCATGCCACGCCGCCCGCGCGATGCCGAGCGCTCGGTCCCGGCGGCTGCTCCAGCTGCTGCTCTGGTTGTGGGCGCCGCCGCTGCTTCGGAGAGCGGAAGTGAGGACCAAGGACCACGGGAGTTCAAGGCTTGGAGGGAGGTTTGGGGACGGTTTTAAGTCTTCCGCTCCTCAAAGACAGTTTTAAGACTCCCCCGCCTGCCCAGATTCAAGTTCTGACCCTTGCTTCCAGTCCCTCGGCTTTCCCCCACAGATCTTCCTTAGGGTTTCCCGCTACCTCCTACCTAACTTTCTTGTAGATTTCCAGTCTCGCCTCTCCTTCCACGCCCAGCAACTCCCCTCTCACAGGCCAACTTTGGTGGTTTCTAGGCACCCCCTCCCAAAGCCCCCAAGGGTGTATTTCGTTTGTCTTAATAGACTTTTAGTCTAGTTTTAGGTTTACAGAAAAAGTGTGCAGAAAAGTAGAGAGAGTTCCTATATGCCCCCTCTCCCCGCTGCACACCTGCATTCCTGTGGTACACTTATTACAATCGATGAGCCAAACTGGACATATAATTGCAAACTAAAGTCCATAGTTTGCATCAGCGTTCGCTCTGTATTGTGCAGTCCGATGGTTTTGACACAGAACACTTTCACTGCCCCCTAAATGCCCCGCGCTCCACCTGCTCGTCCCTCTCTTCCTCTCCTTAGCCCTAGCCATCACTCATTTTTAGATAGCCCCGCCAGCGCCCTCTGGGCTGTTGCCTGAGAAGAACGGAATAGGTCCGGGGGTTTCCTCCTTTCTCTCCTTTCGTAGACAGCATCTGAGGGGCAGACGACGGGGGAGCTGTACCAGCGCTGGGAACGGTACCGCAGGGAGTGCCAGGAGACATTGGAGGCCGCGGCGCCCCCTTTAGGTGCGGCGGCAGGGCGCTGAGCGGCAGGGGGTGGAGATGAAGTTGAGAGGAGAGGACTTAGGGCGGGCCCAGGGTTGCCGGGATGGGCCTGGAGCGAGGCTTGAAAGAAGAGACATCTGTGGTAGATGTGGGCTGGGTCTCAGGGCCTTAAGTGGAGCCTGGGGTAGGTGGCAGGGGCCTAGGCCTGAAGACCATGGGGACTGGGGCAGGGCCTCATTAGTTGGAAAAGCCTAGACAATGCTTGAAATGGGAGGAATCTTGGGCGGGGCCGGTACTAAGAGGTGAGGCCTCAAGTGGTCCACGAAAGGGGCGGAGCCTGGGAAAGGCCTCCAATGGTGGGCAGGATCTGGGGCGGGGACTTGCTCGGTGGGAGGAGCCCAGAGTGGGGCTCGGAGCGTGGGAGGGGCTTTGGGCTGGTGGGTGGAACTTTTTGTTGTACTTGGGCCAGACTGGCTCCAGGGGGGTGGGGCTGGGGCGGGGCTTGCGAAGAAAATGTGGAGCGGAGCCTGGACCAGAGGAGCCCTGGGTCCAACGGGTGTCCGCCCACCACGCCCATCCCTAGGTCTCGCCTGTAACGGGTCTTTCGATATGTACGCCTGCTGGGACTACGCTGCACCCAACGCCACTGCCCGCGCCTCCTGCCCTTGGTACCTGCCCTGGCACCAGCACGGTGAGACGCCCCCTAGGCCCCACCCTTCCCAGCCACAAAGACCCCTGATCTGTGCCCCAGACCCTCCGGCTCACCTACACCCCATCTCGTGCTCCCCTCTGTCCGACTGGGTTTCTTCGCTGCCTGTCCAACCCTGGCTAGGTGACTCTGACCTAACGTATACTGTCTTCTTTGTCTCCTTATCTTTCCAATGATTAGATGCTTATTTTCTCATCTTTTTCTGAGTCTACCTCTTTCTGGACATCTTAGTCTTCCTGGCTTATGTGTCCTTCAGCCTCCAGGTGGTTGAGCAGGGTTACAGTGCAGATGTCATAGGCTTGTTGAGAACACTGGGTTGATGAATGGAAAGTGTTACGTAAGGGTTTGTCATCATCACTTCAGCTGTCTAAGCCTTTGTCTCACAGTGTCTGTCCGTCTCTGGACCTCTGTCCCCCTCCCTTGTTTTCCTACAGTGGCCACGGGTTTTGTTCTCCGCCAGTGTGGCAGTGATGGCCAGTGGGGACATTGGAGGGACCATTCCCAGTGTGAGAATCCAGAGAGGAATGGGGCCTTCCAGGTGCAAAGATGCTCGGGGTGGGAGTGGGGATTGAATGTAGGTTAAGATGTCCAGGAGGGGGGGAAAAAAAGGGCAGCACCCTCAAGCCAAGCTTGAAACTCTTTCAGGACTCTAGTTTGCAAGTGATAAAAACCCAATTCAAATTTGCATAAGGGAGAAAGAAAGAAAAATGTATTGGCTTTTCTGAAAAGTATAAGGTGACAGCTTCAGGAACAGCTGGATCTAGGTGCTCAAATGATATAGTTGGGAATCTCTCTGTCTCTCACCATATTATGTCTGTTTTCCTCTGTGCTGACTTTCCTTTGGAGTGGCAGAAGGGGCCTCCAGTAGCACCAGGCTTATAAGCCACCAATCCAGCAACAGTATGGAAAGAGGGAGTTTCATTCTCAGCAGCTCCCACATAGAGTCCCAGGACTAGCTCTTATTGGTTAGGTTTGAGTTATATGCCTGCCTTGACCCAATCACTGTGGGAGGCAGGTGTTAGATAGAATACTCTGATTGGCTAGGCATGTACCACATGCCCAGCACTGGAGCTGAAAGGTGGAGTCAGCCCCGCTCAGACAAAGGTAGATCATTCCCTAAGAGAAAATTGGGCTTCTAGGAGGAACAGAAAGACCTTCTCTCAGGCTGAGGGAGGAGCTGAGTCATTTTCCCATTTTCCCCTCACCCCACTCAGGACCAAAGGCTGATCTTGGAGAGGCTGCAGGTCGTGTACACTGTCGGTTACTCCCTGTCCCTCACCACGCTGCTGTTGGCCCTGTTCCTCCTGAGTGTCTTCAGGTAGGGTCCCTGTAAGATTCATGGTCAGATGCTACCACTTCTATGCATCCGCCGGTGGTGGTTCTATGGGAAGGGCTGGGGGTGGTTTATGTCTGAGGACAGTTCTCCAGGGCTCTTCAGACTGCCTTTCCAATCTCCCAGGAGGCTGCGCTGCACTCGCAACTACATCCACATCAACCTGTTTACCTCGTTCATGCTGCGGGCCGCAGCCATCCTCACCCGAGACCGTCTGCTGCCCCCACCGGGTCCCTATCCTGGGGACCAGGCCCCGACTGTCTGGAGCCAGGTGAGCATGATCCAATCCCAGTGATTCTGCAAATGGGAGTCCGCCTTGTTAGGAGGGGTCAGCAACTTCACAATCCATTTACTGCCTTCTACACTATCTGGGGGAGCTCTGGTAGCATAGTGGCTAAGACACTTGCCTGCTAACCAGACGGCTGGTGGTTCAAACCAACCAGCCACTCCTTGGAAGGAAGGTTGGGCAATCCTACTTCCGTAGTGATACTGCCTCGGAAACCCAAGGAGGGGTCGCTATGAGTTGGGTTTGACTCGATGGCACATAACAACAACAACAACAACACTATCTAGTGGCACAGCACCTAAGACATTTGACTGCTAACCAAAAGGTTGGCGGTTCAAACTCACCAGCTACTCCTTGGAAGGAAAATGGGGCAGTCTACTCCCATAAAGATTTACCACCTCAGAAATCCAAGGAGGGGTCGCTATGAGTCAGAAACGACTCGGTGGCAGTGAATTTGGTTTGTTTTTTTGTACTCGGTCAGTAAAGAGCTCTGATGGTGTAGTACTCAAGGCTTTTGGCTGCTAATAAAATGTTGGTACTTCAAACCCATCAGCTGCTCCATGGAAGAAAGATGAGGCAGTCTGCTTCTGTGAAGATTCACAGCCTTGGAAATCCGATAGGGGTGGCTGTGAGTCAGAATCGACTTGATGGGTCGATTTTGAGTTTTGTTTTTTTTTTTTTTGGTTGCTGTGGGAGACCCGGGTTTGATTCCTGGCCAGTGCACTTGTGTCACTCAGTGGCGGCTGTGTGTTGCTAGGATACTGAGCAGGTTGCACAAGAGCATCCAGATGAAGACAGTAGGAAGAAAGGCCTGATGAACTTTTAAAAGTCAGTCAGTGAAAACCCTACGGATCACGATGCTCTGTTCCCATTGTGCCTGGCGTCCCCATCAGCCAAAGGCTGACTGTATGGCCACTAACAACAGTCACACTGTCAGTGCTTTCTCGCTAGGCCCCTCCCAACTTGCCCCCCCCATGGCTGTACTCTCCTACCTATCACCAACCTCTCCCTCACATTGGAATCCGTTTCCTCTCTCTCATTATCTCATCCATCCTCGGACATTTCCACCAATGACAGAATCCCTATGCAGGAGGTGAGGTGGGACATGAAGAACAAACCACTTGGTGGGGGGATTTGGTAGATACCAATTGTTCTGCGCTGGACAAATCTGCTGCAAAAGACCTCTTTCAAGTGCTGAAGAGCAAAGATATCTCCTTGAAGACTAAGTGCGCCTGACCCAAGCCATGGTATTTTCAATCGTGTCATACGCATTTGAGAGCTAGACAATGAATAAGGAAGATCAAAGAAGAGTTGATGCTTTTGAGTGGTGAATATTGAAGGTACCACGGACTGCCAGAAGAATGAACAAATCTGTCCTGGAAGAAGTGTGGCCGGAATGCTCCTTGGAGTGAGAATGGCCAGACTTCATCTCACCTACTTTGGTTATGTTGTCAGAAGGGACCAACCATTCCCTGGAGAAGGATGTCATGCTTGGTAAAGCAGAGGGTCAACAAAAAAGGAGAAGGCCTTCAATGGGATGGACAGACACAGTGGCTGCAGTGATGGGCTCAGGTACAGCAGGGATCGTGAGGCGCACCCAGGACCGGACAGTGTTTTGTTCTGTTGTGTATAGTAGGGTCATGTTCTGGTTCCCTAGTGCCGCTCTGACAGGAATACACCACAAATGGCACGGCCTTAACAAACAGGAGTTTATTCTTACAATTTGGAGGCTTTATGTCCAAGTTCAAAGTGCCAGGCTCTAGGGGCTGGGTGAAAGCCCCTCAACCTTGGGGTCCAGCTCTGCCTCCTGCTACCGGCCCACTGGAGCTAGAGGTGTTTCTTCATTCAGACAGCTGCTGGCTGCTGAGGCTGAGAAGCCCCAAGGGTGACAAGTAAAAAGGCACAGTCCCGATATTACCGAACCACATGGCAGGCCATCAGTTCAAGTCCATTGAAAGTCCCAAGGCTGGCAGAGCACAGCAGGCTGCTGAGCAACGACACGGCTACATGCAGGGTCCAAGCATGCCATAGGCTAGAGACCATTCCCAAGGCTTCTCCTAATATACAGGAAGCAGACCACATCCAAAGGCAGCTACTCAGCTGCTTGTGGTAGATCCCACCATGGAGTTGATTGCCAGTCTCATCACGGGAAATAACTACCACCAGCTGCCCAGCCACTCAACCAGGCCCAGCCAAGTTGACACACAAACATAACCACCACAAGTCACTATGAGTCGGGTAGACAACAACAGTTGTTATTTTGAGACAGAGTGGGAAAGATTAGAGGTTGGGGCGCATGGGGTGGGAAAACTATCTGGTAGAGAGACTTAGGCGGCCCCAGGCCATAGAGTGGGGCGACACCTTAGCACTGAACGCAAAAACCAAACACACTGCTGTGGAGTCGGATCTGACTCATAGTGACCCCTCCTTGGGTTTCCAAGGTGGTATCTCTAGGGAAGTGGATTGCCCAACCTTCCTTCCAAGGAGTGGTTGGTGGGTTTGAACCGCCAGCCTTCTGGTTAGCAGTCAAATGCCTTAGGCACTACGCCACCAGAGCACTGAAGTGGTGGTGTAATGAAGTGGCAAAAACTATCTGGCAGCAAGGTGGGTCATGTTCCATAATAGATCTTTCTTCTGAGCCACTTCTGGGTGGACTCGACGTCCACCCTTTGGCCTAGCAGCCATGCACATTAACCTGGATACCATCTACTGAGGAGGATGTAGAGTGGGGAAAGAACATCTGATAGCAAGAGGTGGTGGTGGAAGGACCCCTGGAGGTCCTGACTGCCCTCCCCTTCTCTGGCCGTCCCCTAGGCCCTAGCGGCTTGCCGGACGGCCCAGGTCGTGACCCAGTACTGCGTGGGCGCTAACTACACGTGGCTGCTGGTGGAAGGGGTCTATCTGCACAGCCTCCTGGTGCTCGTAGGAGGCTCCGAGGGGGACCACTTTCGCTGTTACCTGCTCCTCGGCTGGGGTGAGCCCCGACCCCGGCGCTCCCCAGTCCAGCGCGCCTCCGCCCGCCCCTGACTTCCCTGCTGGTTGACCTCTGGGAGTTTGCTCCTCTCCAAGCGGGGCTTCCCCACCTAGGCCGGGCATTCCACGGGTCTCGGGCCTGGCGGGGCCCGTGCGAGCGCTGACGGCTGCGGCGGGGTTGGGGGGCGGGGCTCGGGGTCTGCACAGGGGCCCCCGCGCTTTTCGTCATTCCCTGGGTGATCGTCAGGTACCTGTACGAGAACACGCAGTGAGTTGCGGGGTCTGGGTCCTGGGTCTGGGAGGTGGGCAGGGCTTTGAGGGGTGGGGCGTGATGGCGGCCAGGGGCTTGGAGGGAGCGCGGGCGGGGCTTGGAGGAAATGTGGGTGGGGTTTGGAGGGAGTGGGCAGGTTTGGAGGGAATGAGGGCGGGGCTTGAAGGAAGTGGGCGGGGCTTGGAGGGAATGTGGGCAGGTTTGGAGGGAGTGGACAGGTTTGGAGGGAATGCGGGCGGGGTTTGGGGAGTGGGCGGGTTTGGAGGGAGCGTGGGCGGGGCTTGGACGGAACATGGGCGGGGTCTAGAGGGATTGAGGTGCTTGGAAAGGTGTTCCTGGGATATTGATAGGGAAGGTGGGTGGAGCCTAATAGTAGTAGACGGGCCTTTAAAGGAATGAGGTTGGGGCCTTCCGGAAGGTGGGCGGGGCCTGACGAATGAGCGTGCGTGACCCTGTGAGTACTCGGGCTTGTCTGTCTCAGCTCTTCTCCACCCGGTTTCCCAGGTGCTGGGAGCGGAACGATATCAAAGCCATCTGGTGGATCATCCGCACCCCAATCCTCGTGACCATCTTGGTACGGCCCGCCCCGCCTCCTCCATGTGGTCCTTTGAGATTTCCCGCCGGGGGAGTGAAAGCTCTAGTCCTGCTCCCCAGGAAAGGGTGAGGGGGGGCTTCAGCCTCTCTCTCCCCGCAGATTAATTTCCTTATCTTCATCCGCATTCTTGGCATCCTCGTGTCCAAGCTGAGAACCCGGCAGATGCGTTGCCCGGACTACCGACTGAGGTGCGGGCGGGGGCTAGGGCGCAAGGGCAGGGGCCGGGGGTGTGACCGGCCCCCGGGCCCACTGCTGCCCTCTTCCCCAGGCTGGCGCGCTCCACGCTGACGCTGGTGCCCCTGCTGGGAGTCCACGAGGTGGTGTTTGCGCCGGTGACGGAGGAACAGGCCCGGGGCACCCTGCGCTTCGCCAAGCTGGGCTTTGAGATCTTCCTCAGTTCCTTCCAGGTGCTGGGGTGGGCTGCCAGGGGTGCTGAGGCCTTTGGCCTTGGTCCCTCCTCCCGAGGTCTTCTCTGGCCCAGCCGCTCAGTGGCGTGTAAAAATGGGATTTCATCCTTCATTGAACCCACCATACGGAGCTAGCGCTGGTTGGGGGCGACAAGAGGCAGGGAGTGCAGGGGACCGAGGCAGGCCAGTGGTACTCCCGTTCTTGACAGAGCTCGACTCTGGGCCGGACAGAGCTGGGGCCAGAATCGCTCTGTCATTTCCTAGCTGCTGCTTCTCCCAGGCTTGTTGTTGTTGTTATGTGCCGTCGAGTCAGCCCTGACTCATAGCGACCCCTCCTTGGGTTTCTGAGGCAGTATCACTACGGAAGTAGATTGCCCAACCTTCCTTCCGAGGAGTGGCTGGTGGGTTTGAACCACCTGCCTTCTGGTTAGCAGTCAAGTGCCTTAGGCACTATGCTACCAGAGCTCCAGCTAGATGGGTGCAAAACAAACATGAAACCAAACCCACTGCCATCCAGTCCATGCGGACTCACAGAGATCCCCATTGGGTTTCCGAGGAGGTGAATCTTTACGGAAGTAGATTGCCCAGTCTTCCTTCCGCAGAGCGGTGGTGGGTTTGAACCACCAACCTTCTGGTTAGCAGTGGAGCTCCTTACGCAGTGACCTAGCAGGTGCCTAAGGTGCAAAATTGAAGGAGAAAGGATTTCTGTTTGGGGTGATGAGAAGATTCTGGAACCAGAGTGGTGATGGTCACACAACATGGTGGGAGGGATGGTGCTGGACTGTGCACTAGAAAATGGTTAAAATGGGAAAGTTCATGTTGTGTATATTACACAGCAGAGGTGGTGAGGTTGGCGCAGGACCGGGCAGTGTCATTCTGTTGTACACGGTTCTCTGTGAGTTGGAGCCAGCTCGGTGCACCTCACACAACCACAACAAGTTTTACCACACACATGCACACACAACTTTTAAGGAGGCACTCGTTCCAAAATTTAAGGCCAACCCTGCATTCGCGTGTCTCGCTCTAGTCCCACCTGCTTCTCCTTGCTGGGCCTCAGTTTCTTTACCTCTAAAGTGGGAACAATACCAATCTCAGCTTGCAAGACTGTCCATTCACTCAGCAAATACATGTTGAATATTTACTATGTGATAGCACTCCCCCAAGCTCACTGTAGGGGTACAAGCACCAACCAAATGGATTAAGGTCCCTATTTGGCCTCCAGTGGGAGAGACATATAATAAATATGCCGAATCTTACGTAAATAGCACACTTTATACAGTTTTTGCAGGCCCTGCAACTGCTTTGCGTGTTGGTATCCTGTGAGGGCTATGCTACAATAGGCGTGGGGGTGTTATGTGAGTGGGTGCCTTATATGTGAAAATATGGTCACGTATGCATAACGTACAGAATGTCCTAAGGTGATAGGTGCCTGGGGGGGGGCGGGGGCAGGCAAAGAGATGAGAAGGAGACCCAAGGAAGCATGGGGTTGCAGTTTCAGACGGTCAGGGCAGGTTTCCCCAAGAGAGAGACTAGAGAACCTGAGGGGAAAAGTCCGGGAGTCTGGGGGCCGGGAGCAGAGGGAGCCGGCAAGCGTGGGGGGAGATGAGGTCGGAGCGATGAGGGAGGGGGCGGACGGTGCAGGACCCTCGGTCGGACTTCAGCTTTGACTGTGAGGCAAGAGCCACAGGAGAGCTCTGAGTAGAAGGCCGTGACCGAGTTAGATTTTAACAAGATTCCGGAAGGAGTAATAAAAGATTGGGAGTCCCCAGGGGGTGCAGATGGTAAAAGTGCTCAGCTACCAACTGAAAGGTTGGCGGCTGCAGTCCTTTCAGAGGTGCCATGGGGCAGCTGTTGAAAACCCTATAAGTGCAGTTCCACACTGACATGTATGGGGTCGCCCTGAGTTGGAATTGAGTCTGTGGCTACCGAAAACAATAGTGGGTGTCACTACACAGTCTTGTGTGTGAATGTTGTTCTTGGGTGCTGTGGAGTCAATTGGACTCATAGCGACCCCGTGGGACCGAGAACTGCCCCATAGGTCTTGGCTGTAATCTTTCAGAGAGCACATGGCCAGGGCTTTCTGCAAGAGCGGCTGGGTGGGTTATCCCATCTTCCAGATGAGGAAACTGAGGCACGGAGCGGATAAGCAGCTTGCTAAGTAGGGAAGCAGCTTTCACAGGCAGCCTATGTCCGGGGGTCTCCTGCTTTTAACCCCCACCCTGTATAGCTCAGCATAGCTGCAAGGTTTAGGCCGGGATTCGGGGCGAGGGAGAAAGGGCTTGCAGTCGTGCAAGGCTGAGATACTCGCAAAGAACTGGCCTGCAATGCAGTAACAGGAGCGGGGGTGGGGTGGAGCAGTCGCGTGGCGTGATGCCCCGCAAGGGTCAGAGCGCCTTAAGGGGACGGCTCGAATGTAGCCTCAAGCCTGATTTAACTCCGCCCTCCTCCGGCAGGGTTTCCTGGTCAGCGTCCTGTACTGTTTCATCAACAAGGAGGTAGGGAGAGTCCGCTCGCGCCTTCTGGCGGCCTCGCGGGGAACAGCGCCCCGGAACGCCGCCTCTGAGCGCCGTCTCCCGTTGCAGGTGCAGTCGGAGGTCCGCCGAGGCTGGCGTCGCTGCCGCCTGCGCCGCAGCGTGGGCGAGGAGCAGCGCCGCCCGCCGGAGCAAGTCTCTCGGACCCAGTCCAAGGATCCTGGTCCTGGCGAAGTCCCCACCGGCCGTGCCCTGTCCTTGGGGACCCTCCCAGGGCCTGGGGATGAGGGCAGTAGGGTCTTAGAAAGCTATTGCTAGGCAGTGGGATGCCTGGGTCCATTCAGTTAGTGTGTATTTATTGAATGCCTACTGAGTGCCAGGCCCAGTGTGGAGGGCTCTGGGGAAGTGGAGACAGAAACAAAAGACCAGTTCCTTATGGTCCTGGAGCTCACAACTGCGGGAGGAAACAGGCAGGTCCGACAAAACATCACGTTAGACAGTGGCATGGCTTTGAAGGGAAAATTAGAAGGGGGCCCACGGTGGTCCGGGAGGGCTTCTCTGAGGAGGTGACATTTAAGGAGACTTTGGGAAGAGCTGGGGAATGAGCTTCTGGACAGCCGGAACAGCATGTGCAAAGGCCCTGTGGCAGGATGGAGCTTGGGTGCCCGGGGAGCAGGAAGGAGACTCGTAGGCGCAGTGGAATGAATCAGAGCCAAGAGACGGAGACAGAGAAGGGGCGGGGGCACGAGAGCTGGGCTGTTGCTCCGGGTGCGGTGAAGACTCAGTAGGAGGCTCTCATGGACTCATGTTTTGAACAGATCCTCTGCCTTGTAGGGCGACAGACTATTGGGGGCAGGGGTGGACACTAGGAGCCCCGTGAGGAGCCGAGTGCAGGTGCACCCAGACAAGGGTGGTGGCCACAGAGGCTGGGCAGCGGTTGGAGGCAGGCAGGGGGACCTGGTGATGGTTTAAATGCAGAAAGTGCATCAAAGAGAGAAAGCAGGGAGCTGTGGGTTTGGGATGGTAGAGAGGAGACAGCTAGAGAGGGTTTGGGCCTGTGAAGCCATGCCGTTCAACCCAAGGGGAGTTGGATGTAAGGGTTTGGAGCTCCCGGGAGAGGTGAGAGCCAGAGACAGAAATGTGAGAGGCGCAGAGGATCCACTCTGAGAAGAGGGAAGGATTCAGGGTGGAGGCACTGACATGGGTGATTGGGCGGCCGCAGAGCTGAAACCTGAGGGGCCTCCCTTAGTCCAGAGGGGCTAACTGGGGAATGTGGCCGCAGAGCTGTGTTGCCCAGATCAGGACGCTGTGGCTTCACCCTGCGTCTGCCAGATGAACACTGATGCCAGTGGGCAGCCCCTGGGCACTGGGAGAGCTGGGAGGAGGCTGGCAGCCTCACTGTGGCTGGGCCACCTGTATACACGAGACCTCCTTTCTTAATCACCCTACACACACACACACACACACACACTTAGATTCATTTAGTACCTAGTTGGTGGTTTTCCCTGGGGTCCCCTCTCCCTGGCAGATGTGCCCCGGGGCAGCCAAACTCAGAGCCCTGTCAAGGCCATGGCCCTAATGAGGTGAAGGCCCCGGGGCAGGGCCCTTGTCAATAAAGCACGAGAAACTATGATTTGTCCTGTTTTGTTGAGTTGGGAGGATCCACTCTGAGAAGAGGCGCTGGGTGGGGCCCGTGGCGCCCTGTGATGGTCCTGCCCTTTCTGCAGGGCAGCACTGCTGGACTTCAGCCAAGTGTCACCAGAGGAATGGTGGGTCCCATGCTGCCACTGTCCCCATTGCCTAGGAGCCCAGAGTGGGAATGTTACATATGTAATCCGATGCTTAATTCTTTGCTGTGTATACAGATTAAAATTATACGTGCACTGCATAACGTCCATCCAGACAACGTCTGACTGCATATAAGTCCATGATCCCATAAAGTATGTTGTTGTTGTTGTTATGTACCGTCGAGTCGGCCCCAACTCATAGCGACCCCTCCTTGGGTTTCCGAGGCAGTTATCACTACGGAAGTAGGATTGCCCAACCTTCCTTCCGAGGAGTGGCTGGTGAGTTTGAACCACCAGCCTTCTGGTTAGCAGTCAAGTGCGTTAGCCACTATGCTACCAGAGCTCCCATGAAGTATAGAGTTCAGAAATCCCTATTGGATGTAACAAATGCAACAGCTTTCCACACACAACACGTGCATCTCCTGTCTCTTGCATAGAAAGTGATTGCGCGGCCAGATGTGTAATGCTACAGTACATATATAACCTGGATGTGTCTCATGATGGTCATAGTAAATGCCTGTTACTGCTTCATCAACAAGGAGGTAGGCAGAGTCCGCCCGCGCCCTCTGGCGGCCGCGCGGGGAACAGCGCGCCGGAACGCCGGCTCTGAGTGCCGTCTCCAGTTTCAGGTGCAGTCGGAGACGGGCGGAGGCTGGCATCCCTGCTGCCTGCCCTGCAGCCTCAGTGAGGCGTTGGAGCTACTGCCTTATGTATGTACCGTGCTTTCTATCTGGAAATCTACCGTGTATGCAGCACCCAGTCTCGTGTATCGTGCATCTTGAGTGTTGCAACGTCCTTTCTCTTTCAAAAGAGAACTACTGTGAAGTGCATCATGGCTCCCAAAGCCAGTGCCAGTGCCAGCAACAGCAAGGGGCAAAGAAGGATCGATGTGGAAGTTAAACAAGTTACTAAACAACGGGAAGATGGAAAAGCTGAATGCTCCTGCTTGCCATTTAGGCAAGCCACACTTGACCATCAAGACAATCCTTAAAAAGGAAACAAACAAATTTCCAAGGTGTTAAAGGATGGACTCCACTAAAAGCTACAAGGCGAACAAAAACGTGAGCGGGACCTGTACCAGACACAGAGAAGGCTAATGACGTGGATCGCGGACCAAACACAAAAGCGACTCCCTGTCAGCATGTTGGCGATCACTGCTACGGCACGAAGCTTGTGCGAGACGCTGAGAAAGCAGGACCAGGTTATGACGTGGCTGGTGTTCCCACTCCGTCCAAACCACAACATGTCCCGTTCCACAGAATGTACTATGGATGTTAAGCAACACATGGCTGTGTATGTGTGCATGTACACGTATGTGGGCCGAACACTGGGAGGCCTGCTTCTCTAGTTAGTGTGGGAATTTTAAGAGTGTGGAGCTCTGGATCTTACTGCCTGGTTCAAATCTTAGTTTGGCTGCTTATTAGTGGTGTGATTTGAGGAGAGCTCTCAATCTGTACCTGTTTCCACTTCCAGAAAATGGGCGACACGATGCAGCTGAATCCCAGGCCTGAGATGGAAATGAGCTGTTGGCCGCCATCCGGTCGGCCCGACTCGTGCACAACGGATAGAACTCCGCCTGGTGCCGCCCCAGCCCCAGGACTGGCTGCGGACTGGACCGCTGGGAGCCGTGGGGTTTATCACTGGCTGATTCTCGGACTGGTCTCCAGGCCTTTCTTCCTCGTCAGACTCAGTTGGGAAGCTCTACGGAAATCCGTTCAGCGTCACACCAACACTGGGACACACACTGACAGCAGGCAGTGTCTGCATGTGAGCACGGAAGGGGAGGAGTCCACCGCCGCACCGCCCGCTGCTCTGGGCAAAGGTTTGCGCAGGGCGAGTCCTGCAGCTTTGAGAGTCGGCTTTAGCTTTGACCTCCTGAGGGGTGAGCCCCTCAGAGACCACTGGAGTGGGGAGGAGGGGATTAACATGGATGCCCAGCAGGTGCCCAGAGCAGAATCGGCCGCCAGCCTGCGACGCGGGAAAGCCAGTTCCCATCACCTGGTGAAGGTTAAGTCAGCAACCAGGGGTGGTGGTTATGTGCTGTTGACGACTCATAGCGACCCCTCCTTGGGTTTCCGAGGCAGTATCACTATGGAAGTAGATTGCCCAACCTTCTTTCCGAGGAGTGGCTGGTGGGTTTGAACCGCCAGCCTTCTGTCAAGTGCCTTAGGCACTACGCTGCCAGAGCTGCTCCAACCAGGGGAGCCTGCAGGAATTCAAACCCACGGCTGCAGGTCTCAGGGCTCGCTGCCCCTGCTTCTGCAGGAGAACCACCCCTGGGGGGCTGGCAGCAGCACTGATGCCCCCAATTCCCAGATGATGGTATCGTGGCTCCATCCTGCTCCTCAACAGCCAAGACGGTTCAGGAGAGCCGGGCCCCGTCGGTTTGAAGGCAGCCCCGTCGTTTCCTAATTGGGTGACACTGTAAGCCACACACACTCTCTGGGCCTCAGCTCCCTCACCTGTAGAATGGGATGACTAGTGTCTACCCCACAGGATGGAGGTTCGTTACACATGAGCACTCAGTCGTCAGGTGTGGAGTTCACCGTGACTCACAGCAGCCCCATAGCACCAAGCAACACCGTCCCCTGGGGTTTTCTAAGCTGTAACCCTAAGGCAGGCAGATGGCCAGGTCTCTCTCGTGCAGAGCCACTGGGGGGGGGTTCAAATTGTCAGTCACCAGCCGCGTGTCAGCTCTTCATGCCACTTAGTAAATGCCACCTGTGTGACCTCACAAGGAGCCTGGTGGCCCCGTGGTTAAATGCTCATAAGGCAATGCAGGCTGTGCTTTCCAAGCTCAAAGTACGTGAGCCTCTCATCTGAGCCTGACCGTGTGGGCTCCTGTGTCTGCCTGGCCCTGCCTGGAGAGGGGAGACAGGATGTGAGGTGGGGTGCGCAGCATGCATCCTGTATGACGGGATCCTCCTGAACCCCTAACAGAGGCCTTTCCGTCCCACCTGTTCTATCTCCCCGCATCCGTCACAGACGTTCTCTCGAGGACCTGAGTTATCACAGGCTCAGGCGCGAGGTGGGTCTGAGTCACGGCGTGACCACTTACGGGCCGGGGGCCTGTGAAAGGGCCCTGCTCCCTGTACTTGTTTTCTGCAGAACAGAGGTAATAAAGGACAGTGCCTTCAATCACCTCAGATGTGTGTGAAGGCTGGACAGTGAGTGAGGAAGACCACAGAGTTAGGGTGCCGGGAGAGAGCGGTGACCCCGCCACGGATGCCAGTCTTCTGTTTGGAAGAAGTACAGCCAAAATAGCAGCTCTGGTGGTGTAGGCATTTGACTGCTACCCAGAAGGGCTGGCGGTTCAAACCCACCAGCCACTCCTCGGAAGGAAGGTTGGGCGATCCTACTTCCGTAGTGATACTGCCCCGGAAACCCAAGGAGGGGTCGCTGTGAGTCAGAACTGACAGGACGGCAGTGAGTTTTGAGTTAGACGGCCAGAATGCTCCTCGTAAGCGAGGACGGTGAGACTTCATGCCCGGTGCTCTAGACTCTAGACATGTTCCCAGGAGGGACCAGTCCCTGGAGAAGGCCATCATGCTGGGTAGAGGGTCAGCGAAAAAGAGGAAGACTCTCCACAAGATGGACTGACGTGGTGGCCGCCACGACGGACTGAAGCACAGCGAGGAGCGCGAGGATGGTGCGGGACTGGGCCGAGTCTCATTCTGTCGTTACACAGGGTCGCGGAGAGTCAGAACGGACCCGACAACACCCAGCAACCCCCACCGTGACCTCGGTGTCTCTGGGAAGATGCCCAGAAAGCGGGAGCCTAGAGCCTGCCGCCCACCAGCTCAGCAGGTCCCAGCCAGGAGCACCCCCGGGGGTGCTGCTGGTCTTCCACCTGTGTGTGTTCCTCCCGTCCATGAGGGCAGGGCTGGGCCAGGGTGTTCCCGGGCACCGTGCTGGCCCCAGCAGTGCCACACAGGCTGGGCACAGAGGAGGCACCTGGGAGATGACCTAACAAATGAGAAGAAAAAGACCGAAAGGAACTGTGAATGACGCAGAGACTCACTGAGGGGCAGGACACAGTGCCGAGAACCTCGGGAAGACAAGAACAGGAAGAGTAAGAGCATCCCCTGGCCACCAGAGCTGGGAGGTTCTATCCATCCAGCCGACCGCCGTCATAGACGGAGCGAGTGGGGCCTGCAAGGGCAGAGCCAGGCCACCTGGCACACCAGGCTTGGAGGTCCTGGGCCCAGTGTCAGTCCCAGGGCCCAGCTGCTTCACGCCTTCCCTGGGGGGGAGTCTGCCCCACTCACAAGACCACAGCCTAGACAGCTACTAATAGAAAAAACACAAGAGACTTTATTGTTTCCAACACAGGGGCAGGTCTTCACAGGGCAGCGGGCAGTGGTTCTGGGGTGGGAGCAGGCCCCTACTTGCCGGCGATGAGTGGGTTCCGCAGGACCACAATGACCGAGTCCCCGCGCAGGAACATCTTGGAGATGTACCGGTCCTTGTTGACGGGCTTGGACTTCTTCTTGCCCTTGCCACTCTTGGGGACCTCAGTCCACATCTCCTTCACATTCTCCAGCACCATGTTGCAATGCCTGGTGGGGCAGGGGGAAGGAGACACTGGCAGTGAGGGGGAGCCTGGTGACGGCAAGTACCCAGGGTCAGGCGTGGGCACAGGACTTCACCCCTCTGCACCTGTCTCCTCCTCTCTACAATGGAGACAGCCATGGTACCAGCCTCATCAGGGTGCTGTAAAGAGTAAAGGAATTAACTCTGTATCTGGAGGCGCTCAGGAAAGGACCCTGGGTAACAGAAGGAACCGCTCAGCTGGGGCTTTTCTCTTGATCTTCTGGAGGCTTCTGTCCTCCAGAGGCTCCTCAGGGGGTGGGGCTCGAGCCTCATGTGACCCCTGCACCCCAGTCCTGCTTTGTCCCTGTCCCTGGAGTGCCTGGTGACCATGGGTGGCTGCACAGGTTAGCTCGTTCCACAAATCCTCATGGACCACCAACTCAGCAGACTGCTCACAACACAGTGGATGCGGCAGCCAGTGAAACAGACCACATCCCTGTCCTCATGAGGGGTGCGTGTCAGGCTACCAACCCTCACCCCAAACCCAGGAGGGAAGCGCCATTACTTAGGAAACCGAGGCATAGTGCAATGACGTGAAAGGTCAAGAGGCCGAGCCGTGAATGAGGCCCCGTCAGTGTCCCTGTCCTGAGCACTCCTGTCGTTACTGTTCTCATTTGACCCGCGGCTTAGGGAGGAAGACTAGCTCACGGTCAGTGAACAGCTAGGGGTGCAGACTCAGCACATGACCTGGAGGAAGTGACCAGTTACCGTCAGGTGGGTTCTGTCCTGGTGCCCCATGTGTGTCAGGGTAGAGCTGCCCTCCACAGCGGTTTCAAGGACTCATTTGCCAGTGCCAGGCCATTCTCCCGAAGTGCCTGAGTGGACTTGGAACTCCAACCTTTTGGTTCCCCATTTACACCACCCAACACCGCCTTGAGGACGGCACTTCCCAGATGCTACTTAACGAAAGGTTGCGGCTCTGGTTTATTAAGCGTTTGTGATGCAAGAAGTAGAGAATTGAGTGCTTTCTGTACATATCATTTAATCCTCACGGCCACCTGATGAGGGTGTTCTTATGACACATGCTCTAACACGGGAGTGTGCTTTCCTCACTGAGACGCCTGTCCCTCCGTTTCATCCAGGTCTGCTCACCCGTTACCTCTTCAGATAGAGCCGCTGGGGCTCCATCAAAAGCAGCATCCCCTGCCCTTTACCTGGCCATACTTTTATTCACAGATCTTATCAACCAAAACCAGTAAATCAGACTCACTGCCCACTGAGCTGATTCTAACTCATTGTGACCCCCACAGGGTTTCCAAGGCTATAAATCTTTATGGAAGTAGACAGCCTCATCTTCCTCCTGTGGAGCAGCTGGTGGGTCTGAACCGCCGATCTTCTGGTTAGCAGCCGAATGCCCTTCCCGCCACACCACTAGAGCTACTTGTCAGCCCTTTGATTATGATGACAAGTACGCCTACTGCTCACTCATCTCCATCTGATGATAGTACTAGTACGAACCTACTGCTTGACGACCTTGCACATTACCAAGGAAGTGGTCATGGCAGTGATGGCTGTGGAATGTCCCTTCCCTTGAAGAGTCTCCTGAAGGTCCCCAAAAGGCTGGGCTGCAGCACCCCATGCCCTTAGCTCTCCCCGGCTGGCAGGGGTGCCGATGCCCCCCTCCCGCCATGCCCCAGCTGCTGTGCTGGGCCAGTCCCCTCCATGGTCATGGGCTCAGGCAGATACGCTGGGCCCATTCTGGGTTCCTAGCTCCTAGGCCGCCCGAGGCCCTGCAGCTCAAAATTCCTCTAAGGTGGGAAGGGAGGGAAGACAGAGGCATCTGAGATGGTGTTTGGAAGGAAGGCATGTGAGTTTAAAGACATCCCAAAGTGAGTGGAACTGGGACTGAAGCCTCCTCCTTGGTGAGGTGATGTAGCCAGGTTCCCAGCACCCTCAGTGACTTGCCAGGCCCAGAGGGCAGAGCAGGCTCTGGGATCCCGAATGCAGGGCTTGGAGGGGTGGAGAGGAGCCTGGAGGTGGCTCCTCAAGGGAAGTTCTGACTCGGGCCAGGTAGAAGTGAAGTGGTGAAGCTGTGGGCCCTCCAGTCACCCAGTCCAGCTGTCTCTTCCAAGCCTCCTTCTCTGCAGAGGACTAATGCATGACTGGACTTGCCCAGTGATGAGAACATCAATAAATTAGCTGTAACTTCTATTATCATATTATAAAAAGTCAAGGAAAGGTTTATAAATTGAAGGAAACCTTCCTTGTTGGTTACCAAGGATGGGAGAGGAGGAGAGGGAAAATTCCTAGATCGGTGGAAAACAAAACAAAAACAAGACGTAGAAACCAAAGATTATCACTAGTTACCAGGAGTAGGAGGGAAGGGGAAAGGGGCATTGAGTTTATGCTGTTGGTGGTGGAATATTTTGGAAAAAGAGAGCAATAATGGTGGCACAACATGAAAAATGTCATCAATGTCCCTGAGCTGTAAATGGGGAAGATGTTATGTTGGTGAATGTCTTGATGTATATGTTTTCACCAAAATAAAAGTGAAAAAAGGAAGAAAATTGGCCTCATATGAAAATAGAGCACTTTTTTTGTTTTCCAATCTACTTATCTGATTTTTTTTTTTTTTAAACTTTTATTGTGGTGAAAACACACACACCAAGACATTCACCAACATAACAATGTCTCCATTTACAGCTCAGGGACATTGATGACATTTTTCAGGTTGTGCCACCATTATTGCTACCCTTTTCCAAAACATTCCACCACCATCAGCATAAACTTAATGGCGCATTAGGCCCATTTTCACATAATGACTTAGTCTTTAGAACTTAACTAGGTCAACAAGTGAGGAGTGGGTGCATTTACTTGCATGCTGCCAGCTGCCCCACTTTTGGCACAAGCTCCCCGGGGGCAGGAACCATGTCTGCCTTAGTAACTGCCACATCCCTGGGGCCTGAAAAGGCGGCTGGCACTCATGAACTATTGTCAGACATGTATTCACAGGCACTTCACATGCGTGAAGTCACCAAATCTGCAACCACCGTGATTTTTGCCACTGGAGTCTCTGGGAGACACAAACAGTGAAGCACTTGGCTGCCAACTGAAAGGTTGAAGGCTCATGTCCACTCAGAGGTGCCTTGGAAGAAAGGCCTGGCAATCTGCTAGAAAAAACAGCCGTTGTGCACTGCGCTGCACAGCAAGTGGCAACGAGAGGTGGTCACACTTTGGCGCTGCTGAGAAACCTCGTCTTGGGGTTTCTCAGACTCAGCTTGGGCTGCTTCTCCAGGTCCACAGACGCCCGCGAGACCTGGACGCTCACCTGTCGAAGGCCTTCACGCGGCCCAGGAGCTTCTTGTTGTTGCGACAGTTGATGAGCACTTGCGTGTTGTTCTTGACCGACTGCGTGAGCACTGAGAGCGGCCCCGTGTTGAACTCTTCCTCCTCCCGCTTCTGCAGCTCCTCAGGTGTCATCTCGCTCTTGGGTTTGTTGAGGAGGCTCCTGGGGGGCGAGCACGGGACGTGCGGGTGAGGGGCTGGGGCCCGCGGGAATCGTGGCCTCACCTCTCATGGCTCCCAGTCTTGCCCCCAAAACCTGCCCTGTGGCTTGGTCCTCTCAGCATCCCCACTTGCATGCCTGCTCTGGACTGAACTGTGTCCCCCCAAAACATGTTACTGGAATTATAACCGCTACACCTGGGACGTGATCATGTTTGGGAACGGGGTTTTCTCTATCGAGGCCAAATCAGTGTATGGCATGACCTAAATGTAACCATTTCTGAGGAATCAAAAGGCCAGTTAGACACACTGGCAAGCAACTGAGGAACCAGAGGCTGTGGATTGTCACCAGATACTTCTAGCCTCCTGAACTGTGAGCAAATGAATTTCCGTTCTTTAAAGCCACCAACTTACGGTATTTGTGTTCCAGCAGAACTAGGTAACCAGGACAACGCCTAACAGATATTCCCAACAGTGCAGAGCCCAGGCTGGGCGCCAACCACCCCAACCCACTCTAGCCACAGCCTCCTCCATCTGCACTGACAGCAACCGCATTCCTCCAGTTCCCTGGGCCCTCAACTCTAACTTAGCTCCTCACTTTCTTACATCTCACCTGTCACCAAATCCTGTCACCTGTCTCTGAAACACATGCAGCGTGGGGCCATTTCTTCCCACGGTTACCACCTTGGCCTAAACTGCCATCATCTCTTCCCTGGAGTCTTACTGGTTTCCCTTCCTCCACCTCTGCTCCCTGACAAGCAATTCTCCACAGAACAGCCCAAAGGGTTGTGTTAAAACCTAACAAAAACTCGTCCATGGTTCCCATCTTAGTGTAAACTTAATAATAATAATAATAAAAAAAAAAAAGATGCTGTTGAGTCGATTCTGACTCACAGCGCCCCTACAGGACAGAGAACTGCGCCATAGGGTTTCCAAGGCTGTCAATCTTTACAGATGTTGACTGCCACAGCTGTCTCCCTAGGAGAGGCTGGTGGGTTTGAACCCCGCCTATGTTTTGGTCAGCACCTGAGTGTTTAACCACTGCGCCACCAGGGCTCCTTCATCTCAGTATAAGTAAAATTCACAAAGTCCTCGCAGGCCCTACATCCGCACAAACACACCTCCTTTGCAGCCCCCGGGTGGTCTTCGAAGGCGCCCATCAGGCAAACTTTCATCTCAGGGCCTGTGCCTTTGCTTCTCCCCTCACCTGGACACCCACCCAGGTATCTGTGTGGTTCCCTCCCTCACTCTGCTCAAGGGTCACCTTCTCAAGAACTAGGATTACGTTGTTGTCTCTCAAAATTGGCATTCCTCCTTGTTTCCATCCTGTTCTGCTCTGAAACACGTGGGGTCGCCATGAGTTGGAATCAACTTGCTGGCAATCTTTTATTTTTTTAAGTTGCTTCCCCTAAGGCATCATAGGAGCTCTGGTGGCATAGTGCCTAAGGCACTTGACTGCTAACCAGAAGGCTGGCGGTTCAAACCCACCAGCCACTTCTTGGGAGGAAAATGGGGCGATCTACTTCCGTAGCGATACCGCCTCGGAAACCCAAGGAGGGGTCGCTATGAGTCGGGTCCGACTCGACGGCACATAACACAACAAGACATCATATAATTCACTTGTCACTAAATTTACTCCGTACCTTTCCCTACGTGAAGTGCATGGGGGGTGGACTTTCTTGAAGGGAGAGAAGTTTCTAGTGTTCTCACTGATGTACCCCGAGTATCTAAAGCAGTGCGTCGTACATCATAAACGGCCAAGAAATATTGGCGAATAAATGAGTAAAATCAGTGCAGGGACTCCTTATCCACACAAGTCGCGCGCGTTATCAGGTTGAAAAGACACCCATCTCTAGATTAGATGATCCGGGTAAGTCATTTCAAACCGTTATCCCTAAAAGGCCGTACTCGCCTCCCCCAAGTTCCTTATCCGTAAAACCTCTTCCTCTTAAAATCTATCTCAACGAGACTAGTTATCTGGGAAAGCCCTAGCCCGTTACCTCATAACGCAGCCCCCTGTCCCGAACTCACGATCCGTAAAAGGCCCCATTCCCATTCTCACATCTAGAGAAGTGTCCGACACTTTACCCATAAAATTTCTGCCTCTGTCCCCGGCTCGCTAACAGGAAAGGGCCCTACTCATACCCCTCTAACCATTAATCCGCCAAATTTACACCCAGAAGCCCACTCCCGCCGCTTAATCCCGGCCAGGCCTCACATGGTGCTGGCTCCGTTCTCAGATCACTCCCGTTTCCTCCGCGTTGCTTCTGCCTCTGAAGGGACGGTGGGGACTTCCGCTTCCTGAGGCCCACTTCCGTTAGCGCCTGCGCAAACCCAACCAGCGTATGGGGGCGTGGTCTGTTGCCATAGTGATCCCCGCCAGCCGTCCGTAGTGTTGGGATCAGAGCTTTTCGTACTGGTTTGAGACCATTCACAACAATAGAGGGGAAAATAAAGGGGATACGACTCGAACTATTTCTCTGTAGAACGAGACAGGGTAAATTAGGGAAGCAACATGCTATTTCCAAATACAAGCTGGCCCTGCCTTCAGAGGCGCGACCTCGGCAAAACCAATCGGTTCCTAGCTACAGGGATGGGTCCCGCCCCTTTTTCCTCGGGGACGTTTCACTTTCGCCTTTATCGATTTCTTCGACTGGACACAACCAATCCCTTGTCTACATCCGGGAGGGGCGTGGACCTGATCCAGAAAGGTCGAATGTTTTCCAAGATCAAACGCTTGCCATTGGCTTCCCTTCTTCCGCTGAGGCGGAGTCTAGCAGTTTCGCGCTCCCTTTTGGGTTGTGCAAACCTCATGGGAACCAATCTTCTGCCCCAGGGAGGCAGGAGGCGTGTCCTCCGGCCGAGAATTCCCATTGGTTTTCCTGCTTGCGGAGGGGTGGGATAATGCCGTCGCTCTGGTTGCTTATTGGCCCTGGGATTGCATGAGGTGGGACTTGGCTGGGCCTGAACTGGCGGCTCCGCAGTCCCGGACCCGGTTGCAGGGCAAAGCTGCCATGCGTTCCGGGAGCCGTGGGCGGCCCCGGCTACGGCTTGGGGAGCACGGCCTCTTAGAACCCCCTGCGCCACCCAAGCGCCGCCTGCTACCGCGAGCACAGCTGTTGCCTTTACTGCTATTGGCGCTGGCCGTGGGCTCGGCGTTCTACACCATCTGGAGCGGCTGGAATCGCGGTACCAAGGAGCTGCCGCTGGGCCGAGAACTGCGGGTGAGGCCGTGCACTGGCTCCGCGGGGTCCCTGATTCCCCTCCAGTCCTTTTCCACGGTCTTGGGTTGCCTGACGTGGCTTTATGATGTGGCCCTAACCGCAGATGCCACCGGCTCGGTCATTCGAGAGCATGCCCCTTGCCATAAGAATAAGGTTCTGGGTTGGTTTTGTAACTAATAGTGGCTCCCTCGAAAGAGGAAGGCTGGAGTGCTAAGACTGAGTTGGAAGATCTGGGTTCCAATTATGAATCAACTGCCTGAAAGAGACCCTTTCTCTCTCTGGCTCTTGATATCCCCATCAGGATTTGGGTGGGACAGACTATTTGGACTTAAAGGGACTTTTCTCCTGGAGCTAGGATTAATTTTATAAGCTTCCGTTGCATGTGATGTTTATGAAGAGGAACGGGGCTTCTTGGGGTCGTCGGCGCCCGGGGCAGGGTCGGAATGGGATTGCTCCCACGTTCTGCACTTCTCCACTTACCCTTCCTTCCCCTCTGCTAAGGGCTCGGTGATTGGAAGCCTCTCCGAAGCCCGTCTGCGGAGGGTGGTCGGGCAACTGGACCCGCAGCGTCTCTGGGGCACTTATCTGCGCCCCCTGCTGGTGGTGCGAACTCCAGGCAGCCCCGGCAATCTCCAAGTCCGAAAGGTAAAGGGCCCCACCACTGAGCCCTGAGCCCCCGCAGCCTGAAGGGGAATGAATGGGAGCTGGGCGTTCTGCCAGGATCCCAGAGCAGCTAAAGGACAGAGGTAGAGCTCTGCCTGGAAATGACTCCACACCCACTAAGCTGTACAACCCCAGCCAAAAACTTCCTATGTGCCAGACACAAGCAACACCCCTATGAGGCGGGTACCAATATAATCTTCATATGCAGATGCGGATACTGAGGCTCAGAGAGGTTATACACTGTGCCTGAGTCCTACAGTTAGTAAGTGGTTTGTTATTCGTTGCCAGCAATTCCCACTCATGGGACCCTCATGTGTGCAGAGTAATTGCTTCACAGGTTTTGCAAGACTGTAACCTTTCAGAAGCAGATGACCAGGCCTTTCTTCCAGGGTGCCACTGGTGAATTCAAACTCCTAACTTTTTGACTAGTAGTCAAGTGCTTAACCGGTTTTGCCATCCAGAGAGACTCCTAATACGTAATAGACTTTCACTTTGAACCCAAGCAGGCTGACTGCAGAGCTAGGTCTGGGACATCTCTCTATGGCCTCCCAGAAAACTTCGAGAGACATTTCCCTCCTGCCCAGGTTCGAATCCCAGCTCAGCCACTTGGACTAGTTTCTTAACCTCTGTGTTGCCTGTTTCCTCATCTGCAAAATGGAGCCAATGCCAGACTATCTGTCCCCTGTAGAGTTCGTGGAACAAGACCTGGCATGCATTGATTGCTAATGAAGCTTGAGCGGTTTAATCTTGCCTGGTATCCAGTAGGCGCTCAACAGAAGAATGTTAAAGGAAGATGTAAATGTGGGACTTGCTAGTCGGCCGAGATAGCTCTGTATGGCTCAAGGCACATGCCCCTTCTCCCAGCCTCCCCCCAAGACCCCACCTTCCCTCCATCCCATCTCTCTCACCTCTAGTTCCTAGAGGCCACACTGCGCACATTGACAGCTGGCTGGCACGTGGAGCTGGACCCCTTCACAGCGACGACACCCCTGGGGCCTCTGGACTTTGGCAACGTGGTGGCCACACTGGACCCAGGGGCTGCCCGCCACCTCACCCTTGCCTGCCATTACGACTCGAAGCTCTTTCCATCCAAGTCCGCGCCTTTTGTGGGGGCCACGGATTCGGCTGTGCCCTGCGCCCTGCTGCTGGAGTTGGTCCAGGCCCTAGACCTGGAGCTGAGCAGGGCCAAGGAGCAGGTGAGGAACCAGGGCTAGGGGTGGGTATGCCTCCACCCTGGTCCATGCTACCACCGTCCCTTGCTTGAATGTCTACCACCCTTCTGTTCATCCTGCTTCCATACTGCTAAAAGGACAACGAGGCCACATGTTCTGACCTCCTCTAATCCCACAAGAGGAAGACAGAATCACCATCAATAGCCCAAGGCCTATTCCTGCCAGGCTAGACATGCTGCCTCCCTCCAGCCCTTTCACCAGCTGTTCCTCCCAAAGCACCCACCACCTCTCTCCTGGGTTCGATAATTCGCTGCAGTGGCCACACAGAACTCACAGATTATGGGGTTTATTAGGGAAGCACCAGGCTACAATTCAAGTTCAGGAAAAATGCTCAGTCTCTCTCCCCAGCGTGCCGTCTCTCAGCCAAGTCTCTCACAGTCTCTCCCCCAGCAGTGCATGTCTCTCGGTGTCTCACTCAGCAGCACATGTCTCTTTCAGAAGCACGTGTCTCTTTCAGCAGCACATCTTCCTCAACCAGCAGTCAGAGAGAGTTCTGCCTCTAGGTAGCCTCCTTTTGAGCTTGGTAGAGTGGCCAAACCAACCAATCATAACAACAGAACTCTAAGCACCTGAGAGTGAGCCTCCCATAACATTGTGTTGTGCCACGCCCAACAGAAATAACCCAGGTGGATAACGTTTACAATCAGGAGCTCCTCAATTGCTCATTCCACCACTGAGTTTACAATGACTTATGGGTAGAAAAGCCACACTAAGTAATTTACTACACTGCACACTCTGTGTATAGATCTTTCCACGTACAAGGATCTTTCCATACCCTGAACGTCAGATCCTGTCCATTCTGTACCCAGATCCTCCTCTGACTCCTGTCTCCTTCAGAGCACAGGCAGAGTCCATACAGTAGCCCCGCAGATATGCCCTGTACCTCTCACACTCCACTCTAGTCACACTCGCCTCTAGTCACACTCGCCTCTCACACTCCACTCTAGTCACACTCGCTTCCTCTGTTCCCCAGACCCACAAGGTTCACTCTCACCTCAGCACAGTGGCACTTACTATTTTCTCTTCTGGATCCCACAGCAGTCAAGTGTACTGATTACAGACAGGGGCTCTGGAGTCAGACAGACCTGGGTTCAAATCCCGCCTCTGCCTCTCACCAGTCGTGTGAACCTTGGCAAATGGCTTCACTTCTGAGTCTCAGTTTTTCTGTCTATATAATGGGCATGAAGGTAATGCTAATAGGAGGCTCGATCTGGTGGACTCAGAAGGATTAAGTGAGACCAGGATCCTAGTGAGCCGCAGTAAGAGGTAACTAACGTTCATTCCTATTGGGAGGGCCAGTACCTTATCTCCTGGAAGCCTATACCCCTCTGATGTAGCCTTAGAGTGTGCTTATCTCAGATAACCTTCCTGGCTGGCTCCCACCCTTCACTCAGCTATCTACTCCAATGCCACCTCTTCCAATAGTCCTTCCTGACCACCTTGAAATAGTTCCCTGTCACTATGTCATGCTTTCTGATGCTCGATGCTGATTTCTTTGTCTGTCTCCCTACTAGAATACTGTATTTTTCACATATAATGTGCCCATGTAAATAATGCACACCCCGTATAGGGAATTGATGCACAACAGGAGTTGCACGTTTTGTTGTTGTTGTTGGGGGGGGGGAATGTATAATGCATGTGTTGTTTGTGTAAAAGCAGGTAAGCTCCCTGAGGACAGCCAGTTGGCTTCTTTTGTGCCCTCCCTGCTGTGTGCCCTGGGACCAGAATATTACTGACATAGAGCAGGACATCAGTAAAAATGTATGGAATGAATGAATAAAACCACTTAGCTCATCATGATCCTCCCCTGTTCAGACACCTTCCATGGCTCCCCAGTGCCCTGGAACAGAGTCCAGACTCCTTTGCCCTTGTTAACCCCTTCAGCCTCCTCACACATGTCTCTGGCTTCCTTCCTGGCCCCAACCTTCCCCTGGAATACTCTTTCCATCCACTTTTTGTTTGTTTGTTTAATTTTGATTTACAGAGCAAATTCATTTTCTATATAGCAGTTCACATACACTTTGTCTCATGACCAAAAACGAAAACCAAACTCACTGCTGTCGAGTCGAACCCAACTCATAGCGACCCCTCTTTGGGGAGTAACTGGTGGGTTTGAACCGCCAGTCTTCTGGTTAGCAGTCAGGTGCCTTAGGCACTACGCCACCAGAGCTCCTTTGTCTCATGACATTGACTGCAATTTCCTACAAAGCAATAGCTTTCTTCCCACTTCCTCCTCATAGTTACCTCTTCCCTGTGTCCTTCCCTCCATGCACTCCTGTCCCCTAAGCTGTCTCCCTGTGCATACACAGTCCTTCTATTCTCCCATGATTGTTCACTTCAAGAAGTGTGTCTACCTAATGTAAAATGTTCAGCTCATATGCCTGTCTTTTGTTTAGCTGGAAGCCACAGGAGTGGGTTCAATTCCAGACCTGAAGGGCAGCTAGGGACCATAGTCTCAGGGGTTCCACCAGGCTCTATTAGACCACCGAACCCGGTCCCTTTTTTTTTTTCTTCCATTCTTTCCATTCACTTTTGCCAGCCTAGCCCCCACTTACCCTCAGTGAAGACGTCCCTTCCCAGACCCAATGCCTTCCCCAGGCTAGGTCTGTCCCCCAGCCCCTTCCTGTTCTCTCAGGACCCTGTGGATCTCAGAAGTGTCCGTGGCAACTATGATGAACTACTGCATGATTCTTTGTGAGTTTGGGTCTTTGCCAGACTGACCTTGAAGAATAACAGTAGTGATCAGAGCTAATGGCACCAACGATGAAGAGCTCAACAACCAGCTGAAAGGTTGATGGTTCGAATCCACCCAGAGGTCCCTCAGCAGACAGTCCTGGTGATCCACTTCTGAAAGGCCCCAGCCTTGAAAATCCCATGTTGTTGTTGTTGTTGTTGTTGTGTGCCATCAAGTCCCACGGGGCAGTTCTATTCTGCACACGTGGGGTCACTCTGAGTCAGAATCAATGCAATGGCAAAACAACCACCTCCCTCAGTGAATTACCACGCATCAGGCACTGCTCTTTGGTCTGGATTCGAATCCTACCCTGTGCATCAAACGGTATTAACCCCATTTTCCAGATGAGGAAACTGAGGCTTGGAGTAGTTAGTAATTTACCCATGCCTTCTTGGCGAGGAGGTGTCCCAGCCAGGATCTGAACCCAGGCAAATCTGTCTTGGATGTAGTACAGCCAGAATGTTCCTTATACGTGAGCATGGCAAGACTTCATCTCAGTTACTTTGGACATGTTCTCAGGAGGGGCCGGTCCCTGGAGAAGGACATCATGCTTGGTAAAGCAGAGGGTCAGGGAAAAAGGAGAAGGCCCTCAACGAGACGGACGGACACCGTGGCTGCAACGATGGGCTCAGGCATGGCAACAATTGTGAGGCTGGCATGGGACTGGGCAGTGTTTCGTTCTGTTGTACGTAGAGTTGCTAAGAGTTGGAGCTGACTTGATGGCACCTAACAACACCAGCAGCAGCCTGTCTCAGAGTCTGCTTTTGGCCACTGTACTCTGCAAGGAAGTAGACCTGGTTTGCTCTTTTGGGTTGTGCAAGTGGACAGGAAGTAGGAGTGGGTTAAGGCCTAGGGCTACCTGTTGGCCAGCCCTGAGCACCTGCTCCCACAGGCAGCCCCCGTGACCCTGCAGCTGCTCTTCTTGGATGGTGAAGAGGCGCTGAAGGAGTGGGGACCCAAGGACTCCCTTTATGGCTCCCGACATCTGGCCCAGCTTATGGAATCTGCTCCCCACAGCCCTGGCCCCACCAGGATCCAGGCTATCGTAAGAATGGGGCTCCACCCGGGTTCTGGCAAGGAGGGAGAGGGTGGGGTACAGTCGGCAACCTCCTCCATCTCTGGCCTCTCTTCCTAGGAGCTCTTTATGCTTCTCGATCTCCTGGGAGCCCCCAACCCAACCTTCTACAGTCACTTTCCCCGCACGGCCCGCTGGTTCCATCGGCTACGGAGCATCGGTAAAGGCTGTGGTGGAGGCGGCTACTGCCTGGAACATGGGAGGGAAGGCGGGGCTGGGATGAACACCTGTCCTCTAAGGAGTCTTCCATCTTTTCTCTGTAGAGTCCACCATCTCTGAGGAGCTAGGGCTGAAACACAAAATTAGCCCAAAGCATTCAATTGTATTTAAACAAAGGCAGCCTTGGGTTCAAACCCTGTCTTGGCCTCTTACCAGCTGTGTGTTCTTGGATAAGTGGCTTCATCTCTCTGAACCTTGATTCCTGTCTATAACATGGTTACGAGGGTAATCATAACAGGAGTATGGTCCTTGTAGACTCAGAGGGATTAAATGAGACCAGGAACAAAGCCAAAAAAACAAACCCACTGCCATCAATTCGATTCTGATTCATAGCAACCTTATAAGGACAGACGAGAACGGCCCCATTGGATTGCGAAGGCTCTAAATGTTTATGGAAGCAGACTCCCTCATCTTTCTCCCACAGAGAAGCTGGTGGGTTCGAACTGCCAACATTTTAGTTAGCAGCCGAACGCCTTAACTACTGCACCTCTAGAATTCCTTCCAGAAACATAGTAAGTCTGTAATAAAGGGTAACTAGCATTCATTCCAAAGAGCTCTGATGGGGCAATGGGTAAGGCATTCGGCTGCTAAGTCGAAGGTCACCCACTGGCTGCTCCACAGGAGAAAGATGAGGCAATCTACTTCCATAAAGATTTTTACAGCCTTGGAAACCCAGTGGGAGTTGCTATGAGTCAGAGTCGACTCAATGGCAATGGGTTTTTTTTTTTTTTTAAGCATTCATTCCAAGGAGCCCTGGTGGTACAGTGGTTGAAGTGCTCAGTTGCTAACCAAAAGGTGGGTGGTTCAAACCCACCAGCCTCTCCTCAGGAGAAAGATACCTGGCAGGTGGCTTCTGTAAGCCTTGGAAACCTTCGGGGGCAGTTCTGCTCTGTGCTACCAGGTCTCTAGGAGTCAAGACTTGAGGGTAGTGGGTTAGCATTGGTTCCTATTGAAAGGACTAGTGTGTTATCCCCCAGGCCCCTGCCCTCCTCCGTTTGTGGGCAGGGCAACCTCTGAGCCCTGAGGTACTGACCCTTGCTGTCTCATCCCACTGCCTCCAGAGAAGCGTCTGCACCGTTTGAACCTGTTGCAGTCCCATCCCCAGGAAGTGATGTACTTCCAGCCCGGGGAGCCCCCCGGCTCTGTGGAAGATGACCACATCCCCTTCCTGCGTCGAGGTACTGCTGTTGGGAAGAACCGGGCTGTGGGGGTTGGGCGGCAGGTAAGGGAGCCGCAGACCGGACCTGGCCCCTTCCCGGGGCTGGGGAGTGGTGGCTGGTTACTTAACTTCATTGTACCTCCATTTCCTCATCTGTGAAATGAGAATAATGGTATTTATCTCTTGTCAAGGGACCCTTGGTGGCACAGTGGTTAAGCACTTGGCAGTGACCTGAAAGGTGGGGCGGTATGAACCTACCAGCCTCTGCATGGGAGAAAGATGTGGCAGTCGGCTTCTATAAATATTACAACCATGGAAACCCTATGGGGCAGTTTTACTCTGTCTATTAGGGGTGCTGTGAGTCAGAATTGATTCCATGCAGTGCGTTTGGTTTGGACTTTGCTTCCATAAAGATAACAGCCTTGCGAACCCCATGGGGCAGTTCCACTCTGTCCTCTAGGGGCGCTGTGAGTCAGAATCAACTCCATGGCAGTGGGTGTGGTTTGGGCTTTGGTAAAGATTGACAGCCTTGGAAACCCTGTGGGGCAGTTCCACTCTGTCCTCTAGGGGCGCTGTGAGTCAGAATCAACTCCATGGCAGTGGGTGTGGTTTGGGCTTTGCTTCTGTGAAGATTGACAGCCTTGGAAACCTTGTGGGGCAGTTCCACTCTGTCCTCTAGGGGCGCTGTGTGTCAGAATCCACTAGATGCCAGTGGGTTTGGTTTGGGATTTGATGGCAATGTTTTTGTTGTTAAATTTTTGTTATGATCTGGATGAAAGTTTACAGAGCAGTTCATACACATTTTGTTTCATGACATTGACTACGGTTCCCCACAGTGTAACAGCTCCCCTCCCACTTCCTCCGCAGTTACCTCTTCCATGTGTCCTTCCCTCTCATGCACTCCCGCCCCCCAGAACTATCTCCCTGCAAACACTGCCCTTCTGTTCTCCCATGATTGATCACTCCAGGGAGTGTATCTACCTGATGTAAATGTTCACCCCACATGCCAGTCTGTTGTTTGGCTGGAAGCCACAGGAGTGAGTTCAGTTCCAGACCTGAAGGGGAACTAGGGGCCATAGTCTCAGGGTTCTCACCAGGCTCTACCAGACCAGCAAACCTGGTCTTTTTCACAATTTTGAGTTTTGTTCCACATTGTTCTTCCATTCTGTCCAGGATCTTGACGACAGTGGGTTTTTTTTTTGTTGTTTTAATATTTTTGGGGGGGAACAGAAAGCACTAATACACGTGAAGATCTTACTTGGACAGTGTCTGGCATACAGCATGCCTTCAGGAAATGTTAGCTGTTGTTCTTTGTGCCTTAATGATCGCTAGGTTTGGAAGTGTCAGAACAGGGGATCTTCTGTGTAGGGGGGTGAGGCAAGCTTACACGGCCCCGGGCCTGAGCACCTGGGTCAGTGGTGGGTCTTGGGCAGGCCTGATTGAGTCTCTTCTGTCACCTGCAGGGGTCCCGGTGCTGCACCTCATTTCCACCCCCTTCCCCTCTGTCTGGCACACGCCCGCTGATTCTGAGGCCAACCTCCACCCGCCCACAGTACACAACCTGAGCCGCATCCTTGCTGTCTTCCTGGCTGAATACCTGGGGCTCTAGCCTGCCAAGCTGATCCCTGATGGAGGGGCTCTACTCTGGAGGAGAGGTGCCCATTTGGGGACCTGCCACAGGCCCGTGGAACCAGAGGATCGCAGGCCAGGCACACTGTGGACATGCTGGTTTGTCCTCTGTGACACTGGCTCTTACTTGTGCTATGATCGGGAGACCCTCTTCCCAGCACCCTCTCAAGCAGCCACCACCCTTCAAAGACTTGAAGAGACCCCATGGGAGCAAGGACCAAAGGAGTAAGAGCTTGGCCCCTGCCCTGAAAGGTGGTGGGGCTGAACGCTCTTCTCATTTGTGGACTGGTGTCTGGACCAACCACACCTCCTGACTCTGTTGGTCAGTTTCTTCCCCGATGGCTGCCTCGGTGCTGCATCAGTCCAAACCTCCCTCCTGCACAGATGCCCACGTGGGGCCCATGGGGCCTGTGCTTGTGAGCAGGGAACAGACATGGAAGCCGATATTCGAGAAAACCAGATTCTGCCGCACCCAATGGGCAATAAAACAGTGTTTCAGTAAAACATGTTCTGCAGAACTAGTGTGAATAGGGTTGCAAGAAAAAAGGGGATCAGAGGTCAAAAAGTGGGGTGGGATGTTAAACAAGTTTCCTCACTGCATAGTGTGAGTTTCCAAGAGTAGGACAAAGAAGAGGGAGCCCTGGTTGCCCAATGGTTAAGCACTCAGCTGTGAATCAAAAGGTTGGTGGTTTGAACCCACCCAGTAGCTCCACAGCAGACAGACCCAATGATCTCCATAAAGGTGACAGTCTAGGAAACCCTATGGTTGAAGTTGACGTGATGGCACCCAACAATGGGACGGTGGTTCCGTAAAGTATCCTCTCTGTTAGAAAGCATCTCACAGAACTGGAGTCCCTTGGAATATACCATGGGAAACTAGTGTTTGGAAAGTTGGAGAACATTTATGGGAGGAAAGGGCACAACAGACCTAGATTCACTACAAATTGTTATGTGCCGTTAAGTCGGACCCGACTCATAGCGAGCGACCCCTCCTTGGGTTTCCGATTAGTTCTGCCAAACCATCCTGTCCACTGCCCTCAGGTTCCTTCCGACTCACAGCGCCCCCAGAGGACAGAGTGAAACTGCACCATAGGGTCTCCAAGGCTGTCAATCTTTACAGAAGCAAAGCCCAAACCACACCCACTACCATGGAGTGGATTCCGACTCACAACGCCCCTAGAGGACAGAGTGGAACTGCACCACAGGGTTTCCAAGGCTATTAATCTTTGCAGAAGCAAAGCCCAAATCAAACATGCGGCCATGGATTCTAACTCACAGCGCCCCTAGGGGACAGAGTAGAACTGCCCCATAGGGTTTCCAAGGCTGTCAATCTACGGAAGCCGACTGCCTCATCTTTCTCTCACGGAGTGGATGGTAGGTTTGAACCACTGACCTTTTGTAGCTGCTGAATGCTTTAACCACTGTATCACCAGAGAGCTCCGTCTGAGGATACGGGAGTGTGAGATGATGGGTGTCAGGGCGATGCTAGTGATGGCCCGTGACAGAATTTTCCAACTCTAACTAATTGTCAGACTCAGTTGGGGTGCTTGAGAAAATGTAGATTCCCAGGCCCCGCCTACTGAATCAGAGCTGTAACAAGCACCTGAAGGCGTCTCATGATCAGCAGAGTCTGGGACACGGCATCCTTAAGGACAGAGTTGGGTGTGTTCACAGCTGTTTAGCAAATATTCTCCAAAGATGTCTTTACTAGAAGGAGAGTCCCGTGGGCTCCGTAGCAGCTGGCTTTGTGATTTCCGTGGGGACTGGGTAGATGGCAGCGCGCCAGATGAGAGGGTTATTCATCAGGGAAGGTGGGCCTTAGCCTTCGGGCCAACCAAAAGCTGGGGAAGATGTGAGGAAAAGCTCAAGGGCTCAAACCCAGGTGACCAAATGAACGAGCATAAAGAAAGTCCTCCATTCAGGTTCTCCTTTAGTAAGAAGCCCACCCCACCCCACTGCCGTCAACTCATGGTGACCCCACGTGTTAGAGTCGAACTGTGCAGGATGTTCCAGGCTGTAATTATTACAGAAGTATGTTGCTAGGCTTCTCTTCCATGACACCACTAGGTGGGTTTGAACTGCCAACCTTTAGGTTACCAGCTGAGTGCAAATCATTTGGGCCACACAGTAGCTGACATTTACTGGGTTCCTACTATATGCCAGGAGCTCTGGTGGCATAGTGCCTAAGGCACTTGACTGCTAACCAGAAGGCTGGCGGTTCAAACCCACCAGCCACTCCTCGGAAGGAAGATGGGGCAATCTACTTCTGTAGTGATACTGCCTTGGAAACCCAAGGAGGGGTTGCTATGAGTCGGGTCCGACTCGACGGCACATAACAACAACTATATACCATGTGTACTTTCCATAGATCACCTCATGATGTCGTCTCCCCCAGATCCTGAGGTAGGCGCAATCACGGTTCCCAGCGTGCGGAGGTGGTGGCCAGGGTGGACTGTGAACTAGTTACTTCCGGAGCCCAGATTCTCACTGCCAGCTGGTCTCTTAACCTTCACGTCCTCCCACCCTTCCAGAAACTCACCTGTGCTGAAGTTTGCTGACATTTCAATTGACTGTAAGATTATGGTTGAGCTAACACCAAGGGGACATTAACAGCTGCTAGGAGATGGAATTCTGGTGGCACAGTGCCTAAGGCATTTGACTGTTAACCAGAAGGCTGGTGGTTCAAACCCACCAGCCACTCCTTGAAAGCAAGGTTGGGCAATCTACTTCCATAGAGATACTGCCTCGGAAACCCAAGGAGGGGTCGCTATGAGTCAGATCCGACTTGACTGCAGTGCATTTGGTTTTTTGGTTTGAGAGATGGAATTAGAAGAGGTCTGGAGCTGACAGGGAAGCTGATGGTGACATCGGCAGCCAGGGTGGAGAGAGGGTCTGGAAACCCCAGGGACGGTACTACTGTTGTTCATTTCTCATGTGGCAGATATTGGTGTCAAGCACACCATGTCATCTTTACCTCGTGGTGAGGCAGGTGAGATCACCTACCTGTTACAGAGAGAATGCAACATGCTCAGTGATACTCCTTATAGAGCACCTCCCTGTAGGGCGCCTTGGTTGCATGTAGTACATGCCAGACACTGATAGCTTGACTCATTACATCCTTTCAAGGTCAAGATCATTAGCCCCATTTTAGAGATGAGGCTGCTGATGCTTGGTAAGGTGCTTCACCCGGACCCCTTGGGCAGCAGAGGAGCCCTGCTGGCACAGTGATGAAGCACTCAGGTGCTGACCGAAAAGTTGGCGGTTCAAGCCCACTCAGCAGCTCCGTGGGGGAAAACAGTGGGGATCTGCTCCTGTGAAGCTGGCAGCCTAGGAAAGCCTTTGGGACAGTTCTGTCAGATGGAGCCACTGTGAGTCGAAATTGATCCAGTGGCACCTAGCAAGTCAGTAGATTCTGCAATTGTCATTCGGTGTATTCGATAAACAATTGTTGAGCACCCTAGACATCTCACTTGTCAACCTGAGCAACTCTTAGTGTTACCTTTCAGATCAAGAAACTGAGTCTCAGAGAAGTCACATAGCTGAAAGTTGTCATAGTCACTTTCACTACCACGTGACTAGGCATACCTCTGTTTATCCTGCTTACGATTCACTGGGCTTACTGTTGTCTTATCAGTCTGGGATTCTGCATCATCCATCATCTCTTAACAGCCTTGCCCTATTCTCTCTTCTGATTCTGGGACACCAATTAAGTGTATGTTAGACCTTCCCCTTCTATGCTCTGTAACCTTTTCTTCCTGTTTTCCGTTTCTCTGTAGTACATTGTGGATAAATTTTCTTGACCTTGTTTCCAGTTCAATAAATCTCTCTTAAGCTGTGTCTCTCCTGTTTAGCTCAGCCATTTTTTTTTTCTCAGTTTCGGTTATCGTATTTTTTTGCATTTGACTGCTAACCAGAAGGCTGGCGGTTCAAACCCACCAGCCACTCCTCGGAAGGAAGG